ACCACCACCACCACATAGACGCATCTTCTAGGCTATCGCTTTCGCAAGGTAGAGTGGAGGCAAAGCGACGACGAAAGTGAGGTTCATATCTGCTCTCAGTAGGTAGGCTTCTGTTGAAGGCTGAGGCAAAGGTCAAAGCATCGACATTCACACAAAGCTATGAGCGTATCGTGTACAAGTGAGGGTGTCATGCATGGCGTAGTTAGATGATGTCGGCAACAGTGGACATTTGCACAAGTCAAGTAGGCGTGCAGGTGGATGAATGGATATGTTTATGCATTTACGCATCTCGCAATAGTCGCAAGTGGACAGGAATATGGAGGAGAGGGATCCATCGGCCATCCACATCATGCAGATGGTGGTGGGTTCGAAGTCGCCGCGGTTCCAGATGGTCTTCCTGAAGAGTCTCCTCATGCACCACTTTGAGAAAGGCGAGCCCAATGCCGCTCCCATCCACCTCCACTTCCTCACAGACAAGGCCACGCGATTCATTGTGGAGGGCATTCTCGAGAGCTGGCGCCTCAACAAAATACGCCTTACGTTTTATCCCGCCGAGCCCATTCAGGTGAGTGCATTTTGGCAAAAGGAGCTCCTACTCACAGCACCAGCACTGGAATTGCTGCTCATCGAACTGCTCCACTGCTTGATTAAATGCTGTGCAGATTGCAGGAGATGAGATGAGGTGCGATGTGATGTGATGCCAAGTGCAGCTTGCCCACTTGTGTCACAAACATGTGTGTACACTCACTCATTCACTCACTTACTGCCTCTTCACTCGCTCTTTCTCACTCTAACTAATTGTAGGCCAAAATAGGATGGATGAGGAGTACACACTCGGCTACGAAGGTGGCAACCATGAAGATGTATCTGCCGGAAATTCTCAACTCCACGGTTGCGAAGGTGAGTGGGCAAGTGCTTGAGGCAACTGACGCTTCATTAACGACTTACTGCAAGCACTCGCTGAAGGAATATTCTTCGTGACCTCATAGCTGAACGAGTGAGTTAATATTATTGCCAGCCACTTCCCAAAACGCATTCTGGATACCATGGCTAGGGCAATGGCGGAGACATTAGTGGGTGAGATAGCCCTTTTCCTCTCCTCCTCCACCTCCTCCTCTCTACGGGTGACCTTTAAATAAGTGAGACTCCTCACAAAATGTCTGTCAAAGTGGAATGAGTGGATTTGATTTGTGAGGCTGTGAATGCATTTCCTAAGACTGAGAAGCGATGACATGTAACACTTGCCTTCTCTCATCAAGGTCCTTCTCCTCGATTCCGATACCGTGTTCATGACCGACGTCGCCGAGTTGTGGAGACACTTCGACCAATTTGGCAAATACCAGGTGAGACGCTGCATCCACTGCCACACTAACGCATGTGATGGTATTGCTTGCACCACTTGAGATGCACTGTTAGCGCCTTTGAGAGTGACACGTCAGAAGAGTATTTTGCATCTCTCCTTCACAGTTTCTGGGAATGGCCATAGAACAGGCCACAATGCCCTTCGACTTCACGCGTTTCGGTGGTGAGAAGAGGGTGAGTAGTGCAAACGAAAGCTCATTTCCAACCACACCATTCGTATCACTTTGCATGAAGTGTTAGATTTGAGTGGTGGAAGGGTACTGACACTGCCTGTTTGTCACAACTGCAGTCCTTCGGCTACAACGCTGGCATAATGATGTGGTATATGCAGCGACTGACGCAGACGAAGTGGGACGCCATCTGGCAACCGACGCTGAAACGAGCCATGGCAGTGTACACCTGGCTACCGGCAGCCGAACAGGTATGCTTTATTGCGCCAAAGGCAGTATTTCATTCACTCCTTTCCAAATGTCCTCACGAGTGGTGGGATTGGAGGGGTGAGTGAAGGAATGCATTCGGTTGGGGGGGGGGTGAAGAGGCAGTGTTGTGGTCATGCCATCAATCATCATGTTTGTTGGCACGGTAGTAGATCAGCCTGTTGCAGGGACTTCTCCCAACAGGTAGTAGTTGTAGGAGTGAAATATGAGAGCAGATGCACTAGTTGCATTGCATTGTGAAATGACTCTTGGTCCACAATTGTATGATTGAAAGAGAAGTGTCACATCTCACCAAGCACTGACTTCTCTCTCTCCTTCAGACACTCATAAACGCTGTCATCCTGGACAATCCGGACATATTTTACGCTCTGCCGTGCACGTGGAATTTGCAGATGTACGAGGCGGGTCATTCGGAGGACTGTCTCACCACGTGGAACAGGCCACCCGGTGACAACATTCCTGAGCCGAAGCTGTTGCACGCCGATAGGGTGAATAAATTGGAGACGTACTTTTGGCTGGAAGAGAGCAAGGAATTGGCTAAAAACGGTAATTTCCTCTCCACTTTGCAGTTCCTGATTGCACATTTTGACGTTACGACTGGTTGTGATAGG